AAATATAGTATCTCTGTCCTATAATGGTTGTTACATTTAACGTATGAAATGTTTATGTAAATGTAGCAAATATTATGGGACCGTGTTAGTACCGTATTCTAAATTAAATCTATTAATTGGAGACAGTTCGACATGAAAATACATAAAAGAATTAAAAACAATTAGTATTACTTCTGTATGTACCCGTGAATACATTTACATGAAATATTTACCGTAATAATTGCTATATTTATAAAAGAAAAAACAAACTTGAAACCATTAGTATTAAAAAATATTTTAATGATTATATGTATATATACACGTGTTTTTGCCATTGAAAATGACGTCAGGATTATATTGACACATGTTGTTTTGGCTTACGTTTAAACTGATTCATTTTTATTTTCATATATCTACACTAAGTTATAAACTTTTTTTGGAAAGTGAACAATTCATTGAAATTTGTTGGAAAATGTCCAAGTTTTCATCTGAAAAAAAAAAATATAAAACCAACTTAAAGCGAAATGGTCCCAATATTTGGAAAAACGTAGGCGTCAGTTTAAAATTACGCCGTAGGAATAAGTTTGTTTCGAATTTATCACATTGAAGTTTTTTTTTTTTTTTTTTTATATTTTTAGAGTTTAGTAAGAATTGCTCTTAACGTAATATTTTGTCATATTAAATATAGAGTTAATATCATCAACCAAAATACATGAAATCAGCATGTACAATTTTGAAAATTTTAATTTTTCTTACTATTTGAACAGTTCGCTTTAGGGGTATCACGTTATTTTTATGATACTGCCGTTACAATCAAAGAACAATACGAAATTGTGACTAAGATATATAAACTGCAACCTTCATTAAGTACTGACAATAATAAAAAGAACTAATATGCAAATATAATATATATTATGGGATAGAGTTAGTATTAAATATGTATTTTCCGACATGTCTCACTTACAAACGTCCATCGAGGTGCGAATGAAAACATCTAAAAATAATCCATTAATATCCACCGTATAATACGGTATTAATTATATATTTCTAAAAAATATCTAGTATTAATATTAAGCTTATAAAAAATTCGATATTAATTATAGGTATTAATTATAATCCAATATAAATTAGAAGCTTTAACCCAAATAGTGTGGCGCGAAAGGATCGTACGTATGCCGCGAAATTCTTAAGGATAATTAATTATTTTTGAAAGAAGTCCAAAGCACAATGCGTATACATATCAAAAGTAAAACCCTTTTAAATTGATTTTACGAGAAAATCATTGTTATAATAAATATAACGTATACATAATGTATAAAAAGCCAGCTTTTCTGCAATAAACTATATTAAAAACAAAAATCGATCACGGCTAGGAAGAAGATTTATGAGTATGCCTGTCCAAAATTCGACCTTGTAAAGAAGAAATTCTCAAAAAAAAAAAAAAAAACAAAAAAAAAAGTCTTTAAATATTAAATTATAATGAACAGAAAAATAAATATAAGTTTTTTTAAGAATTTTTGTTATCATTCGGAGGCACGGTGGAGTAATGGATAGCGGCTCGTATTGAGAATTCGGAGAGCCGAGTTCGAATTCCAGTCGAATCCATTACATTCATTTACGTGCTAATATCCTTGGGAAAGGTATGGATCCCCTCCAGCTATGGGGTAAATAACAGACCGGATTCTATAGCCTTGGGTGCCAACTTCTCTACAGCAGAAAGAAATGGTAACCTATTGCGGGAAAAAAATCTGCCTCATCAGTCACGTATCGAAAGATACATGATCGCCTAAGCGTGTATCACGCATGGCACATAACTGAGTTATCCTTTTATTACAATAGATTGTTTTGTTTGTATTAATATATAAATCATAAAAAGTATACTTTTTTTTATCATCATAATTTTAGTGTATCTAGGTTCAAGTGTGCCGTGAGATGAAGAAAATGTTGAAAAACATCGTCTTGAACTATTAGTAACCACCGTTCCTAAAATGAGACTGTGGGAATTAAGAAGAAGAAGAAAAAACAAAACAATAATAAGTTTAAAGCTTTACGCCTGTTTGCTATCCACTATATTGTTTTGGTTTGCTATCATAGTTTAATATGATTCTTTCTTGACAATAAGACACATTGATATCAAATGGATCCCGTGCCAATATGGACCCAACGCATGTGTAATCTACACATACAACACTGCTAGCACCACATTGCCGTTTTTCCAGAGACTACAACTTTAATATTCTTCTGAATCCTTGAACTTTTTAAATTTGTGCTAGAAGTAAAAGTCTGATTTCTTGCTTCCTTGATAACTATAATCTTCAAAAACTTAAATGCAACTTTAAAGAAATTTAAATTCATCTTGAAACTGGAAAATATGCCATTTTTACAGGAAGTAAACTGCATAAAACCGGTATGTACATCAGCCAGACCCGGTTACAGAGATAGGACCTGCAATAATTTTATGGGACTTTACGATACAAACAACAGACAGAACAAACGAAGCTAATCGCCCAGATATCGTGATCAAATATCACAAAAAACAGAATGTGCTTTCTTATTGACATGGTAGTTCCTGCAAATTGTAATGTATCTTTGAAGATCTTCAAAAATCTCTCAAAATGCAAGGATCTTGAAGTGGAAATCTAAAAAACGTGGCACATCAGGACATCAATAATTCCAGACCATACCTTAAAGAAATATAAAATTATATATTCACAATTGCAACTCACAGATTACGGGGAGCTTTATTTATGTATAATGTGTGTGATCTTAGTTTTTTTTTTTTTAAGATGCCATTTCTGACCTTAGATCTCTGGTTGGGACTCAGAGGGAAATATGTATACAACAGAAAACCAAGGAAATAATAATAATAATAATAATAATAATAATAATAATAATAATAATAATAATAACAACAACAATAATAATAAGACATTGTTATTAATAACCACAAACAAAAAAGTGCCTTCTTATTGATATGGCAGTCCCTGCAGGCGGTAATGTATCTTTGAAGATATTCAAAAAGCTGTCAAGATACAAGGACCTTGAAATAGAAATCTCAAAAATGTGGCATATGGGAACATCAACAATCCCTGTTGTAGTTGGAACTCTAGGATTGGTTGGAAAATATTCCAGTAGACTAATTGAAGAGATTCCTGGAAGTCCATGCCTCAAAGAAATACAAAAAATTGTTCTGACAAGTACAGCCCACACTTTACGAAGGGCTTTATCTATGTAATTTTTTTTTTCAGTGGAAAGTGTCATGATACCATTTCTAACCTTAGGTCCCTGGACGGGACCCAGAAAGAAATGTGTAAACGCCAGATATCAAAGGAAATAATAATAATAATAATAATAATAATAATAATAATATGAGAACATCAACAATCCCTGTTGTAGTTGGAGCCCTAAGATTGGTGGAAAACATTCCAGTAGACTAATTGAAGGGATTCCTGGAAGCCCATGCCTCAAAGAAATACAAAAATATTTTTCTCACAAGTACAGCCCACACTTTACGAAGGGCTTCTCTATGTAAAATATGTGTTTTTTTTTGTCATTTTTTTTTGTCAGTGAAAAGTGTCATGATGCAATTTGTAACCTTAGGTCTCTGGGCGGGACCCGGAAAGAAATGTGTACACGCGAGAAATCAAAAAAAATAAAAACAATAATAATAATAAAGGAATATTGATGCCATATATGGTTTAGTGCTCAAAAGTCTTCCCAATTTGACCCGGAATCTTTCCTGTTCGAAATACATCAATTTGAGAGCCAATTTATTGGTTAAACCCCTTGTTTCAGCTAGGAGTAGGTCACTGTTGGCATGATGAAATGATTAATCATTGTTAGTGGTCAGAAATTAATGCAAAAGTTAATGATAGGATATAGCCTTACATGTATTTTTTATGATTTTTGTTAACAAAGCAATAATGATGCTTAAAATCATTTTAAAACTACATTAGTTCAGTTATATTGTCTGAATAGTACTCAGAATGATATTTAAAACCGGTTGTTATTGAGGAAGGTCAGCAGGGATTTGTAGAGAACTGCAGAAATCATCATCATCATAATCATCATCATCTTCTTCTTCAATTTATTTTTTCTTATTTCATTTCTTTGTCAATTTATCTCATTTCTTTCTTACTTTAATTATTTATTTCTGCTTTTCTTCTTTCGAACAGTTTTTTTTATTAAACTTTTCTTTCCTTTTTTTACTTCTTTTTCTCGTTTTTTTTTTTCTTATTGCTTTTCTTCTTCTTTCTGAAACCTTTTATCTTCTTTAATGTCTTCTCTTTCTATCTTCCCCAACCGTCGGCTTATCAAGACTTTTTATATTTCTCAACATTGTTGTTGTTGTTGTTGTGGTTCTTCTTCTTCTTCTTCTTCTTCTTCTTCTTCTTCTTCTTTTTCTTTTTCTTCTTCTTCTTCTTCTTCTTCTTCTTCTTGTATTCTGAGGTGAAGGGGGTCGAGCAAGGATTCATACTCGAAAGAAGATTTTTTTTCGTATAGATGGAAGAATAAATATGGCATTGTAAATAAAAGTTCAATAAGGTGAGTATTCTAAAGCGTGGTGAGGTTCGCGTGCGATAATGTCGTCTCTTTGCTTTCGTCCATTACTTTAACACAAAATAAATGTAAAGTAATATATATAATAAAATAAATATATAAAAAACTTGCTGTTGTCAGAGTTCATCGTAATTACACTGAAACAAAAGATACATTCAAATCGGCATAATGAAGTCTCAGAAAAATGGCTGATGCATAAGCTTGAGAGTAAGAGAAAAATGGAAAGTGAACAATATGGCGGCGAAGGAAAGTTTGAAGAAGAAAACAAGGAAAAGAGAAAGCAAGGAAGAAAGGAAAGAATAAAGAAAATGATAAAAAGGCAGGTAACAGGCGAGGCAAAAAAAAAAAAAAACAAAAAAGCGTGGGAAAAAAAGAGAGAAAGAAAAAGATGAAAAAAAGGAAGAAGCCATAAAGAAAGGAAGAAAACAAGAAAATAAATAAAAATAGGAAGGAAACCATAATTAAAGACTGATGGTAAACAAGTAAAAAATCAGGAAAGAAAATAAGAAAGGAATAAAGAAAAAGGGAGGAATGAAAGAAAGAAGGAAGAAAAGAGGGAAAGAAAGAGGGAAAGAAAGAGAGAAGGAAGGAGGGAAAGAAAAAGGCAGGAAGGAAGGAGGGAAAGAAAAAGGAAGGAAGGAAAGAAAGAAAGAAAGAAAGAAAGAAAGAAGGAAGGAAGGAAGGAGGGAAAGAGGGAAGTAAAGAAAGAAAAAATTAAAAACGAAAGCAAGAACGCAATCAATCAAGAAAATCCTGCTAACAAGAAATAAAACAAAAAAAAACAGCAAAGCAAAAAGCGAGAGAAAAAGAGAGAAAGAAAAATGAATGAAAAGGAGACTATTGAAAAAGTAAAAAGTAAGCATAAAAAGAAAGATGTCCGAAAAAGTAAAACAGATAGAAAAGAAGAAGAAAAAAAGACGAAGAAAAAATCGCATGTCTACAAATTTTCTTCAAAAAGAAAAGATAAGAAAAAGGAAGTAGCCATGAAAAAAAAGAAAGAAAGAAGGAAGGAAAGAAAGAAAGAAAGAAAGAAGGAAAGAAAGAAAGGAAAATAGAGACGAAACAAGAAAGCAATCAAGAAAATCTGCAAACAAGAAATCAAACAGAAAAGACAGTAAAGCAGAAAAAAGAGAGAAAGAAAGAAAAAGGAAAGAAGAGAGACCAAATAAAAAATTACGAGTAATGTAAAATTAAAAAGTAAGCATAAAAAGAGAGATCATCGATACAGTAAAACAGATGGAAAAGAAGAAAAAAAAATTGCATGTCTACAAATTTTCTTCAAAAAGAAAATATAAGAAAATTAGTCAGAAATTGGGACAGTAAAAATGAAAAATAATAGGTGAAAAAAAATCCGAATCATACACATTAAAAATATATAATACTAATAATAATAATAATAATAATAATAATAATAATAGACGTCAAATAAAAGAAATTTAGAAAAGGACTACGATTGTGAAGATACAAAAAGGAATCCCTCCCCCATTTGCAGACGGTGGGCCAATAACGGTCACTACCTTTGACTCCTTTACTTTAAAAAAATATTCATTTCGTTATTGTGAAAACTACGAAAATGCTTTCTGTCAGCGGCGTGTGAAAATACCAGCTGTAACAGAAACAAATAATATGATCAGCGTGGCGGGTTGCCAAGACCCATTTCCGGGCGTGGCCGGCTGCCTTAGTGTCATCATTTTCTTTGCACCCTCAATCTTTCAGTCTTCATCATAGTCCGGAGAAAAGAGAGAGAGAGAGAGAGAGAGGGAGAGAGAGAGAGAGAGGAACAAGTAGAGAGAGATATGGGGGGAAGATGGGAGACAGGAAGATAGTGTGTGAAAGAGAGGAGAGAAGTGGGGAGGGAAAGAAATAGGGAGGGAGAGAATGAGAGAGGTGTGAGACAGGGAGGGAGAGAATGAGAATGATGCGACGGGAGAGAGATGGGAGAGAGGAGGAGAGAGAGAATGAGAGAGGCGATAGCGATAGCGATGGGGAGGGAGAAAGGCGAAAGAGACAGGCTGTGAGAGAGATAGGAGACAGGAAGGGAGGGGGACAAAGGAATGAGAGAGAGACGGCGGAAAGGGGAGGAACGTAATAGAAAGAAAAAAGAAAACGAAAGGGAATGAATGAAAATTAAACGAAGTAAGATTGAATGGGAAGAAGACTTAAACGTTCATTACGTCATAACTGCCGACTTTTCACTTGTATTCATATCATGGCCGACCAATTATAATACATGTTACTATCAATTAAATATGACTTTATTTAAATAAAATTTTCCTGATCACTACAATCTTGATATCTTCATACGCTCATTCAACATCACTCATTAAGCCTCTACCTTGAAAGACTCTTGGGCCTTGTACTAAATAAACATTAGTAAAAAAAAAGGTGTTCCAATAACTTGGACCGATTTCAAATGTGAATTAAGTTTAAGCGTCTAATGATTTTTTTTCTTTTTCTTTCAGATTTAACAACTGAAGTCTTTGGTAATTTCAACCATGGAAAGATCAAACAACGTGTTAAAGTTATCGAAGCCTATTACGAAAATGGACGTTCAAACAGAATTTGAATGAGAAGTTCCCAGGTCGCATCAGCTCTCGAAACAGCGAAGTCAATTGGCCACCACGATCGTGCGACTTGGCGCCTTTAGATTTCTTCCGTTGGGGTCATCTCAAAAGTAAGGTCTATGCCAACAAGCCAACAACAATTCAATAGTTGAAGAATGAGATAATAAGGCATATTAGTGAGATCGAGGAGCAATTATGCAACTATGCAGAGACGTCTTCAAAAAATTTGACCAACGGGTGAAGGTGTGCCGCCAAAGCCTTGGCGGACATTTGGGCGATGTTATTTTTCACACATAATTGCCATGACTTAAAATAACATGATCCAATAGAGAAATAAATTTTCACCAATAACACTGATTATTATTTTCACCAATAACTGCTGACTTTGATCCGTCTTAATGAAACACCCTAAATGGATGATGTAAGAAACGGATGTGTCTTCTCACCGAACTTATTCAACCTATACAGCTAGGCATTTCTGGGAGTATTAGATGTCCTACCAGGATTTATTATCGGCGGCCACTATCTTAACAACATAAGATATACAGTTGACCCGGTGTTGAGAGCAGACAAGGACAGAAAACTACAAAAGCTCATAGAGAAGGTAGCGAAGGAAAGCGAGACGAAAAGATTAAACATAAACTGCAAGAAGAGCGAATGCACGGTTGTCAGCAAAAGGATGAGCCCAAAATGCAAATTACAAATCGGAGATACTAAAATGAAACAAGTACAAACATTTAAATATCTGGGTAGTGTTCTAACAGAGGAAGGAAAAGACGACACTGAAATCCGATGATAGCCAAAGATGGATTCCAAAAAACCTAAGCAGAGTATGAAGAGAGAAAAATTTCATTGGAAACAAAGAAAAGAGTACTGAACTGTTACGTGATATCTGTCCTCCTGTATGACAGTGAATGTTCAAAGATGAAGAAGAGACTTGAAGCAACAGAATTAGGGTTCTACAGAAAGATGTTGAAGATACCATAGATCGAATATGTGATGAGGTTTTGGAGAAAATGGAAATTTATAAATGACATCAGACTGAGACAGTTGTCTATAGCGCATAATGAGGAAGGAGGGCTTGGAAAATCTGATACTCACAGGACAGAATGAAAGCAAGAGGGACAGAGGAAAACAGTGCATGATATACTTGATAAGCTTAAGTAAATAGATGGCGGAACAGCGTTTAGGAGAAATAACGAAAAGACAAAATTTATTAAGTGCTACAAACGGTAGGAAATTGTGGAGAGCCATGATTGCCAACGCCCTAAAGGGACACAACGCATAGAAGAATGAGCTTGAGTAAATGGATGGCGGAACAGGGTTTAGGAGAAATAACGAAAAGACAAAACTTATTAAGAGCTTCAAAGGATTAGAAATTCCAATCTTTTGTAGCTCTGAATAAATTTCGTTTGAGCAATGATCGCCTACGTCCTGAGGGGACACAGTATATAAAGAAGAAGACGGTTTGTTGGTCTTAAAACATCAAAAAAAGCGAAATGAGATTTTAACGGAATCATTTTGAGAATTGTTTTTCTTTATTCTAACAAATGTAAAGTGCGCAAATGCTTTAAATAAAATTAACACCGCGCAGAAAGCGAAATCCTGTTCGCTGTAAGGCTCAGTTGACATTGTATAATCCTTTTGGCTTTTGTTTTTTGTTTGTTTTTTCAATTTCACTGTGTACGTGGAGAGTTGAATTTACTGAAATCGTTCTCAGCGCGAAAAAATTGAATTAGCAAGTCGATTTCAATCTCTGGCCTTGTTTGCTGTGTTTACGTTTGCACTAATACCCTTGGGAAAATCATGAATAGATCTCGTCTTCTTCCTTTAGCTATTGCTAAAATGGCAGAGTAGACTAGCCTTGGATTGTAACCAGTCTGAAAGACGGAAATCTCTGAATTCTAAACCCTGGAAAAGTCAACGAGAAACCATTGAACATTTTTCCCAAGATGTCATGGCAATTCACAGATTATAAAGAAAAGGAATCTGGATCGCCATGGTATTTAAAAAATAAGATAAAATAGAATAAAATAACGGTAAACATGGTTAAACATGCCCACAATAAGACGTAGTGTTACCCGCCAACTTACTCTTCGGCAATGTTTATTGTTTTAAAAAGTGATGATTAGAATTGAGTTGGTTTGGTTTATTTAAAAGCATATCACCTCTTTACGGGTCATTTGATGGCGAAATTTAATTTTCTTGAGACCTTTCTGCTAATCTAGTATTGCGCTTAAATTCATAAAGTCTAGATACTATAGAGGAAATTTCATCATTAATAAGGATTAGTAGATTGGCAGATAATGCGACATGAAAGGAGCAAATCTTTAATAACCGTTAATAGCTCTTTAGTTCCCGCCAAATTATATTTATCCAGGAAGTCCTTCCACGCAGATGCTGCTCCTGTTGCTGCAACGGTGCAAGTGTCGCTCTAATCGTTTGTCGCAATGTTCAAGTATTGTATTAATATGATCGTAGGTTTGGTTTGTTTAACGGCATATCCATTCCTTATAAGTCATTTAATTTTGATGGTGGGGGGAGCTTTGGTAATTTTTTTTTTTCAAAAATGTATTGTTGGTAATTTTTGTTTTACTTTTCCAATAATATATTGATTGTAATTTTGTTTTTGTTTTTTGTACTATGAAAATGTATTGCTAGTAATCATAGTACAAAAATGTTTTTTATACGTTCATAATATTTTGACCCCAGTTTTGGGGTTCATTATTTGCCCATAACTGGGACCCTAAAATGTGCTACGATCAAGGGTCAGTGTGGACCTGGGAACAACAGTAATTAAGAAGTGTTTCCACGCTCCTCAAAACCTCCCAATCATCGGCCTTCCTGACGCATATAGTTTATTGTCAAACCCAGGACAAGATTAGAATTGGAATAAAATCTAAACACACGAGGAAGTGAATTTATATGATGTAAGATTTTCTTTTTGTCCTGGAGGATTAACAACAAAAATATTAAACATTATTTATTTATTAGACTGTTTATTTACAGGAATAATTTTATATTTTCAAAATTCTAAAAAAAACTAAAATAATTAGAACTAATGCAAAATACGAATCTATCAACCTCCCCAATAAACAATATAATAATTAAATAGTGTTTATTATATTTGTTGTCACTTCCCAAGAACAAAGAAAATGCAAACATTCACTTGTTCAGGTTTTATTACAATTCTAATCATCGCTGTTTAAAATAATAAACATTGTCAAAGAATGAAAGTAGTGAAAATATTAGGTTGGTGAAAAAATAATGACGTAATAATGTCGTTTTTGACGTATTTTTTAAGGTCAAAAAACGACGTTATTACGTCATTATTTTTACACCAACCTAATAAAAGCGATGTCATGATGTTTTGATACTCCGTGTTATTGCGGGCACATTTATCCATGTTTGCCAAAAATCTTCATCTATTCTGTTGAATTCAAATTGAATAAGTCACCAGGGATCGAAAACAAGAAATGCAATTGAAAAATGCGATTAACCTACTTGTCAAATTTGAACAAAGTTCTGGAAGACCAAGTACAACAAAAATAAAGTGTGATCGTAACGAAGCGATACTTGCTGCGGGCAACAAAAGAAAGAAAACTATGGAAAACCATAATAACCAACTTTCTAAAGTGGTTATAAAACTACAGCTATTTCCTTGTGCTATAAAAAATCTATAAGAAACAGTCGTAGCAGCTTTTCTGGTCACCTTTCTTCCAGTGGTTCATTAACTTTATCAGACGAGCGAGCTTGTCTCGGTATATGGACAGTCCGCTTAGCCTTGATTTCTCCTAATTAATACGTTCGGTCGGTTTGTTCCTCAGTAACAGTTTCATTTACTAACCCTCTTCTTCTTCTTCTTTATGTGCTGTATCCGCTCAGGACGTAGGCGATCATGACTCTCCACAACTTCCTGTCCCTTGTAACTCTTAATAAATTTAGTCTTTCTGTTATTTCTCGTTAGCCCTGTTCCGCCATCCATGTACTCAAGATCTATGTTATGTGTTGTTTTCATCTGTCTCTCTATCTGTCCTTTGAGTATCAGATTTTTCAAGCCCACTTTCCTCGTTGTATACACCAGAAACCTCAACTATCTCTTCCTGATGTTAAGTATTAGTTTCCTTTTTGTTTCCATTTTCTACAGAAATTCGTCGTTACTCACATCTTCAGTTCACGGTATCCTCAGCATCCTTCTGTAGAACCACGTTTCTGTTGCTTCAAATCTCCCCTCGGACAAAATGCACAAAGTGACACTAGAAAAACGGAATAAAATTCCTTGTTCGTCACATTAACTAAGAGATGTATGAAAGAAGTTTTTTTGACCCAAATTGAAATATATATATATATATATATATATATATATATATATATATAAAGAGAAAGAGAGAGTGAAAGAGAGGGAAAGAGAGAAAAATGATATAAGACATTATATAAGATATGTCTACCTACAACCACAACTAGTGTAACTTAAATTCTTTTACTCATACATTTGACAACATTCAACCGGCATACGGAGTGAAAATACCTATTAGATGCAGAAACACACACACGAACGCATGCACATCATCAACCAAATCTCGCAAAGACAAACTAGAATTATGATATACATACACACATGAATTATACACACAACTGTGCTTGACAGGACAGGTACATGTAATATCTGCTTAACCAATGCAAAACAAACAACTCAAAACATTAAAATCCCAGAATTTTATTTTCTTCTCCATATTTCATTTTACGATGAAGTTTAAATGAAAGTGCAACATGCTAAATAGACTGTTCTTCCGAGGCTGTGACTTCTCGCAGAACCTGGCGAACTCTCTGGCTTTGGACAGAGAGGAACCCGGACGAGACTATGCCGAAGGGCAGAGTTTCGTCTAGGGAGGTAGACAGACCCGAACCCGTTTATGCGGGTTCTACGGCAATTTTTAGGGCCGAGCCTACGGACTCGGATAACCCAGATATATTCCTCGTAGGGAGGGGGGGCTGTTAAATATTAACATGCTAAATTTATAAACTGTTCCTATTTGTTCCGTATCCTATCATATATATATATATATATATATATATATATATATATATATATATATCAAAGATGAGCGACGTCAGAATACCTGAGGTCCTCACTTATAGCCAGCTTGACATTCGACAAAGTAGTGTTGGACGGCCGTAGCTCAGGTATAAAGATAAGCTAAAGAGTAACCTCTCAGCTGTCAATCTGCCTCATACTAACTCCGAGTGAGTTGCTCTGGATAGAAATAGATGGAGATATGATATTTGTGCCAGAGTTGTATCAGAAATTTCGAAATCAGTCGTATTGATTGGCAAAGAGACGAAAGACAACAGCGAAAAGCGTCAGCAAATATTCCCATGGCTATGTCCCGAGATCATCGCTGTGGCACAATATGTGGACTTGTATGCAGGTCACTAGCGGGACTGAAATGTCACGTACGATACAAACATAAAAACTGAATGCGGTTGTCAGTCCTCATAGTTGTAAATGATAAACAAGCAAGACAATTATGCCACCAAGACGCAGGAGATTACTGAGACTGAAAGAAAATGCGAAGATTTTAGAAGGAACCATGAAAGTATTTATTAAAAAGGCACAGAGAGGCAACCTTACGGCGGTGGGCAAGTAACTGAAGCCCAGCCGCCAGATCAGGACCAATAATATTGCTGATTCTTCTTTGGATCTTATTCAGGAGCTCCAGGAAAATAGCAGGGGCACCGGACCATATATGGCAGCAATGTTTACCGAATTTTACAGCTGAGAAATAATTCTAGCTTTTTAAATTCTCCATTTCACATGATTACGCATATTAACTGATCTATAACTGATTAATATATTGATCTGTTTTTTTTCTGTGCATGCACATATACATTTTAAACTACTATGCACAATAATGACAATCTTAGTTATAAATAAAAAAAGATGGCAAGCTACTGACAGACACAGTAGAAGTTCTGAATAGGTGGACCGAATACTGCGACGGCCTGTACAACTATCCAGATTCATCTTTACAGCAAGCTGACAGGTAGAAGGTGAAGACAGGCCGCCAATACTGATGGTGGAGGTAGAAGAAGCAATAAGGAACGTGAAACCTTGCAACTGACTTTGAGTGCATCATGTACCTTTGAACTGGTGAAAAATGGAAGGAAACTGTGAAGGCCATAACAGTTCTATGCCAGGAGAAATGGTCAAAAGAGTGGACCCCTTGACTGGCCATACCAGGTCAAAGAAGGGTAATCTCAAGTTATGTCAGCGTTATAGAACAATAAGCCTGATCAGCTACCCTAGCAAGGTCATGCTCCGTATTAACCTCAACCGTCTGAAATCCAAGGCTAAATGAATACTGTCAGAAGATCAGGAGGGTTTTGGGGGCCGGACGGATCACAGTGGAACAAATCTTCAACTGTAGGGTCCTCGTCAAGAGTCATCTGAAAAACCAGAGTGAGTTGTTCCATAATTTCCTTGATTTCAAGAAAGCATTTGATGATGGCCTCTGACACGTCCTCAGACGATTTAACATAGAAGAAGGGGTCATACAAATTATCCAGGCCCTCTATGATCATGCCACCAGTGGGAAATTTCTTCCAACAGACTATCGGCGTTAGACAGGGATGCCTACTCTCTCCAACTGTCTATATATTTGTCTATATCTCTGAGGTCTTATGATTACTTACATTATTTACATTATTCAGACTTTTATCCTAATCTACATTGCCATATTCACAAGGTTTCGGCATCTATATTCTGAGATGAGGTCTTATGATTACTTACATTATTTACATTATTCGAACTGTTATACTCATCTTCATTGCCATATTCAAAACGTTTCCGCCGTTGTACGCTGCAGCCTTCTTCAGGTAATTGAAATTTTGAATTGAACCCTTTATTTCGTCCACCGGGGAGAGTTGAGTTAAAAGGAAATAAGTGAGACATCCGGCTTAGCACGTGGAACTACAACAATCTACCCCGGTGGACGAAATAAAGGGTTCGCCTTGAAATTCCAATCACCTGAAGAAGGCAGGAGCGTACAACGGCCGAAATGATGTGAATTTAGCAATGAAGATGAGGATAACAGTCCGAATAAAGTAAATAATGTAAGTACTTCAACCTGTTTCTGGAGATAATTATACAGGAAACCCTCCACGACCACCACAATTCAGTCTCTATCGGTGGTAGACCTGTCTGCAACCGGCGTTTCGCAGGTGATATTGAACTTGTGCCGGGCAGTAAGAGTGAACTGCAAGACCTGACCTACAAACTCGTTGAAAGAGCCGGCGCGTATGGAATGGAGCTCAACACAGATAAATCCAAAGTAATGGCGAATAGCACAAGAAATATCAGGGTTAGCGTCATCAAGGACGGCGAACCAGTGGAGAAAAGGGTCCAGCTTTAAATACTTGGGAGGAAACCTGTAAAAAGATGGCACCTTCAACGCAGAAAGCAATCGCCACAGCCACGGCAGCGTTTGTCAGACTGGAAATAATATGGAAGATCAACATGGGCTCCAAAGCAAATTCAAACTCTAAAAAGTCGCTGATCGTATCCATTCTCCTCTAGGGTTGTGTAACTTGGACATTCCTGGTTGAGCGAGGGTAAAAGATCCAGGTGTTCGAGAACAAATGCTTGAGAAAGCTCCACCACAACTCCTACTGTGGGCACAAAACCAATAACTATGTACGGAGCAAGGTCAAAAGTCTCGTGTATCGACAGGAATCTCTCTCTTAAGCGTCGGAAGATGTCATGGTTTGGCCACGTCACACGGCATGACAGCCTCTGCAAGATAATCATGCAAGGCGATGTTGCTTAACTTCGGTGATTCTTCGAGAACCCATGTTTCAACGTGATATGGCCGTAAACCTGGAATACATTCAGACTCAAGAGTTTAGCGAATTTTACTCAAAAGGTATCGAAGACCTGCTTGATAAGTGGAGCAAAGTCATTGTAAATAATGGTGTTTATATATTTAACTGAAAGATTCGGTCCAGGGTATTCTCAGCATCCTTCTGTAGCACCATGTTTCACCTGCATCATGTTTCATTGAGGAAATTCTCCAGCATTCACAGCTGTATCGAAGGACAAATATCGCGTAACAGTTCAGTACTCCTTTCTTTGTTTCTAACGAAGTTTTTCTGTTTCTTAATACTCTGCTTAGCTTTTAGAATGGATCTTTAGCTATCCCAGTGCGCCCAGTGTTGCACCTTACGTCCTCTGTTAAAACACTTCCCAGATACAAAACGTCGGCTAACTGCCAATTACTTAAAAGTTTTAAAAAATAGTAAATAATAAGAATTTCTTCATAATTGGTTCACGTATTTTAATAATTTAGTAAATAATAAAGATTTACTAAATTATTAAAATATATGAACCAATTATAAAGAAATCCTTATTATTATTAGAGAATTTCCTCACTAATGAAGAAAAGACTTGAAGCAACAGAAACATGGTTCAACAGAAGGATGCTGAGGATACCATGGATCGAATATTTTAGTTAGATATATAATTACCATTATTTAAAAATAAAAATCATTTTCTAATTGTATTAGTTTTTAGAATGTTGTAAATACAAAATTATTCATTCAAATTCATTGTTTTTTTTTTACGGGGTATCAACCCTTTGCAGGTTATTTAAAATCAGAAAATATTTTTAGAGTGTAAGAATCTTTTGGAGATAATAATAATGATTTTTACTGATACAAGTTCTGCTAATTCATCCATAACTTAGCTGGAGGAGGAAGGGGTGGATCCATACTTTTCCTAAGGGTATTTGCGCGGAAGGGAATATTACGAACGCGACTGGAATTGAAATTCGATTCTCCGACTTCCAATTCCGAATCGTTATCCATTACACCATCCGCACATCCAAGCTTACAGCACCTGGTATTCGTAAGCGGTCACCCATCTAGGCACTAACCAAGCTCAACGTTGCTTAACTTCACTGATCAGACGAGAACCGGTGTTTTAACGTGATATGGTCGTAATCCCCATCAATACTAGGCACATGAAAAAAATATGCATTAGAAGGCATTAGAATGTCATAAATTAGAACTTGACTCTCCGATTTCTTATTCACAGCATTTACACATTGCACCACCCGCACATCCAAACGTCATGTCTTCAAAATATTTCTTTAGAATAATCTAAACTTTCAATATGTTAAATATATTTCATTCTAAGAGTTACCTCTAGGGAAGGGTACTGAGAATACCACGGGCGGAACATGTGAGCAACGACGAAGTTTTATTGAAAATGAAAATAAAACAAACACTTATAAATAGAATCAGAAAGAGACAGTTGAAATTTCTAGGGCTCATAATAAGGAAAGACGGCTTAAAAAAATTCGACATTCATAGGACGTTTTGAAGACAAGAGGAGAGCAGCGCATATCCTACCTGACGATGTCGTGTAGATGGTTAGCAGAACAGAGATTAGGAGGGATATAAAAAAAAACATTACTAAGAGCTACAAAGGAGGGGAAATTGTGAAGAGACATAACCGCCCACGTTGCGAAGGGACACGTCAGAGAGAAGAAGAAGAAGAAGAAGAAGAAGAAGAAGAAGAAGAAGAAGAAGAGTGAGATTGTATAAATGGCTGACAGAACAGGGATTAGAAGAGATAGCAAAAAACTAACTTTACTAACATCTACAAAGGATAGAACATTGTGGAGGGCCTTAATCGCCGACATCTTGAATGGACACAGCACATAGAAAAATCTTGTGTAAATAGTTGGGATAAAAAGGGATTAGAAGAGATAGCAAATAGACAACATTTACTAAGAGCTACAAATAACAGGACATTGTGGAGAGTCATAATCACCAACGTCCTGGTAGAGCACGGCACATAGAAGAAGAAGAGGAGGCACGGTGGAGTAATGGATAGCGGCTTGGATTGAGGAATCGGAGAGCCGAGTTCGAATTCCAGTCGAATCCATTACATTCACTTACGTACTAACACCCTTTGGAAAGGTGTGAATCCTCTTTCTTCTCCCTCCAGCTATGGGTAAATAGGATTCTATAGATTTGGATGGCAACTGGTCTAGGAGAAGGAAAACTCTGAATTCAAACCTGCTCTTAGAGGAGGGTGAATGGAGTCTCTCTGAGCCTTGGTTGGCAATCCATTTAGTGTTGGTGTCACGATAAAAACACCCTTGATAGTCCTAGCGAAGCATCAAGAATTCAGCTATTTGACAAGATTATGAACTACACCAATCAAAGTATTGGTGAGTTCAATCTCGGCTGAGGCCGCAAGATGAATGAAGAAGAAGAAGAAGAAGCTTGTGTAAATGGTAGTCAGAATAGGGATTAGAAGAGATAGTCAATAGAAAAAAATTTACTAAGAGCTACAAGAAAAAAGAAATTGTGAGAGTCGTGTTCGCCAACGT